CCCTTTGGTTGTTAGAGTCAGGTGATTTGGGGACCTACTCTTCTGGAGGCTGTTCACAAAAGCTGTGGCACCAATAAGTATACAGGCTCTGTTTAGGGACATACTAGCAATTTGTTATTATCAGTGGAATGGGCTGGTGGGACAAGCCCTGAGACGTGGCTGCAGGCTTCCCTGGTCTCTAGGAAAAATCACAGACAGCCTCCAGATGCTTCTTATATTAGAAGCCTTGCCATCAGGCGGCAGCTTTTAAGGTAAGCATGTGAACCTCTTTGGGAAGTACCGGGATATGGGCAGTTTTGCCTGATTTCTCTGTGCTGAGTCTTGGGGAGATGGCCAGTTATGAATTGTTTCTTTGTTTACTACAGTCCTATTGTTTTCATGAAAGGAACTCACTTTGGCTTTTAGAGCCAGGGGATCCAGTGACCTGTGTAGCTGCAGTACAGATGTGGTTACACGCTCCTTCTGGGGAGATACTGGCATTTTGGAGTGGGTTGGAAGGAGAAGGCAGGAGAGGTATTCTCCAGCTTCCTTGTTTCTGGAGAGGACTATAGTCAGCCCCTAGTGCCTGCTAGAATTATAGGCTAGATATCAGGCAGCAGCTTTTATAGTATGTAGATAAAGCTTTTGAGGGAAAGACTAAGAGATGGGTGATTTGCTTGCTTCCTTCATGAGTCTGGTATCTGCCCAACTCTGCTTAAGCTGGAGATGAACTCGCATCTTAAGGCCAGCTCTGGGAGCTGAATATAATAGCAGCCATGGAAATTGAAGTTGGTAGCAGTGATAAAGCTATTATAATTTTGTTCCTGTTCCTCAACTGAAATCTTACAAAAGAATTCAAGTCTGGCTAGTATGTAAATTAGAGAAAAAGTTCAGTGTGAAGCATGTTGTCTTTATTACTCAAAGGGGGAAAGGCCATACAAAAAAATAAACAAAAGCATCCAGGAGCTGTACTCTTAGAGACATACGCAGTGCGATCCTGGAGGAGTTGATTTTCCCAAGTAGAACTGTGGGCAAGAAAATCCATGTGAAATTGGATGGCAGCAGCTCATACAGGTTCATTTGAATAAAGCCCAACAGAACAATGTGGAACACAGGTTGAAACTTTTTCTGGTATCTATAAGAAGCTCATGGGCAAGGATTTTAATATGGGATTCCCAAAGTTTCAGCTGTAAACAAGTTACTAAATAAAATATTGCACACATACACAGAAGTCAGTGACCTAAAGAAATAAGGACTACAGAGAATGTTTTGTAGTTTCAGGCAGTTGCAGGAGCTGCAGCAGGTTAAAATGTCAGGGACAGAGATGCCAGTGACGCCAGGGGAGGTATACACTGTCCAGGATGGAAATGATGCAGTCAGTGGTGTTCAGTGTTCACCAGTGCCAGCAGTAGTGATTTTAGAGACTAATTATGACATTAATTATGACAGGGCTGGAACCCCACAGCTCCCTAGACTGATGATGATGATGATGATGATTTTTTTTTTTTTTTTTTTTTTTTTTGCCAGTCACCAAATCTGTCTCCTCGGCATTCTTTGGCAAGTCTGTTGGCCACCCAGTTTCCTTTTAATAAATTTACTTTCTATTTAAATTAGAGAAAGATGCTTCCAATTTCTTGTAACTAATAATCTTAACTTATGCAGTGTTTTTTTCTTTTTTTTAGTGCAGATATTTGAGTGTGACGATTCAGTAAAACATTTAGACATATAGCTTGACCTATTAGTGTTGGTTGCCTTAATGATAACTTAAAATGTTCTGGAGTTCCATGCAAGATGGAGGCATAGGTAGAAATGCTTTGCTTCCTCGTACAACCAAAAGAATAACAACCAATTTAAAAACAAAAAATCAACCAGAACTGCCAGAAAATAAAACTTCTTGGAATTCTGACAACCAAGGAGTTAAAGAAGCATTCATCCAGACTGACAGCACCACAACACAGAGAAGAGGGTTGTCAGCCCTGGCAAATAGCTTAGGCTGTGCCCCTTACAATATAACAGGTGCGCCGAGACAAAGAAATATGGCCCAAATGAAAGAATAGATCAAAGCCGCAGAAAAAGAAGTAAGTGACGAGGAGATAGACACCTATCAGATGCAGAGTTCAAAGCACTGGTAATCAGGATGCTTAAAGAAATGATTGGGTTCAGTAGCAAAATGAAGGAAGAAATGAAGGCTGTACAAAGTGAAATAAAGGAAAATATACAAGAAACCAACAGTGAAGGTAAGGAAACCAGTACTCAAATCAATGATTTGGAACAAAAGGGAGAAATAAACATTTAACAGGAACAGAATGAAGAAACAAGAATTCAAAAAAATGAGGAGAGGCTTAGGAATGCCTGAGACAACTTTAAACATTCTGACATCTGGATATTAGGGGTGCCAGAAAAAGAAGAGGAAGAGCAAGAAATTGAACACTTATTTGAAAAAATAATGGAGAACTTCCCCAAGGTAGCAAAGGAAATAGATTTCCAGGAAGTCCAGAAAACTCAGAGAGTCCCAAAGACGTTGCACCCAAGGAGCAACACACCAAGGCTCATCATAATTACATTACCCAAGATTAAAGTTGAAGAGAATCTTAAAAGCAGCATGAGAAAAGGAGAATGTTACCTACAAAGGAGTACCCATAAGACTATCAGCTGATTTTTCAAAAGAAATCTTACAGGCAAAAACAGACTGGAAAGAAATATTCAAAGTCATGAAAGGCAAGGACTTATGTCTAAGATTTCTCTATCCAGCAAAGCTATCATTTAGAATGGAAGGGCAGATAAAGTGCTTCTCAGGTAAGGTAAAATTAAAGGAGTTCATCATCACCAAGCCCTTATTATGTGAAAGTTAAAGGATTTTATCTAAGAAAAAGAAGATCAAAACCTTTGAACAGTAAAATGACAGCAAACTCGCAACTATCAACAACTGAACCTAAAAAGCAAAAACTAAGCAAATGACTAAAACAGGGACAGAATCACAGAAATGATCATATGGAGGGTTTTCAGTGGGGAGGGGGAAGAGAGGAATGGGGAAAAAGGTAGAGTGAATAAGAAGCATAACTGGCACAAAATAGACAGGGAGAGGTTAAGAGTAGCATAGGAAATGGAGAGGCCAAAGACCTTATATGTACAGTCCATGGATATGAACTAAGATGCGGGGAATGCAGGAGGATGAGGGGTACAGGGCGGATGGGGGATAAAGTGGAGGAAAATTGAGACAACTGTGATAGTACAATCAATAAGATACACATAAGAATAGAAAAAACGTTTTGTTTAAGAATCTTTTACTTAGAAGTCAGGATCCTTTTTCACTTTCACTGTGGTCTAGTGAGTAGTAGCTTATCTAGCAATTGACTTTGAACCTAATTAAATTTTTTAGGCACATAGTAATCTGGATTATGTAGTGTATAGAATTTAGTGAGAACCCTAAGAATGTCTTGGACAATGGAAATCAGCCTGGAATAAAGTCACTTGATTTATATGTACATGAAGACTGATTTAGACTTTGACATGTTTCTTACCCTACTGAGCTTTATAATGTGGGAACTGCTTATAGAATTGATATTTATTAGTTTTTATAATCTTGATATTTAATATTAATGCTGGGTCTGTCATACGTCTTATATTTCTGAACTTTGAAAAGTCACTCTGCTCTCTATGCCTCAGTTTTATACGTTTTAAAATAATGGAGAATAAACTAAATTCCTAGGTCCATTCTAGACTTAGCATTTGATGAATCAAGTAATTTATTTCCTTTTTTTCCTAAAGTGAATGCCAGTAGTACACTTATGATGTTACATGGGGCTGAATATAACCGATTTTTTGCTCAATGAGCTCAAAATGGTAAATTAAGATGTAACTATTAGGGAATACATTAAAGAACAAGTTCAGTAAGTGTCAGAGTCTAGAGGTATTCAGTAACTGTCATATTTGTGTGGCAAACTAAGATCATTTGGAGAAATGAACAGCTTAACATAGTCACAATTCACATACTTATAAAGCAGTATAATACACTGGTTAAAAACTTTAAAATTAGAGTTTTTGGGTTTGCATCTGGGCTTTACCAGTTAGTAGTGTGGCGGTGTGCAAATTACTTAACCTATCTGTGTCTTAGTTTCTTTATCAGTAAAATGGGGATAAAAATAGAACCTACCTTACAGAGTTGCTGTGAAGATTAAATGAGCTCATGTATGTAAAGTATCTGACATATCCAGAATGGTGTGAGACATTGTACTCATTTGCTAATATTGTTTTTATTTTATTACATAATCTCATACAGCTAAGATGTTCCAGATGTTTTGTACAGGTCTGCTTTTATTTTCATGAATATTTTATAGCATTCTGCTGTTATTAATAGAGCAAATATTTTATAATCATTAAATACTGCACTATCATTGCGATTCAATGCAGTGTTTGGAACAAAGATCTTAGTGTGAAGGACATCCATAATGACTAGCTGTTTTTTTTAAAGAAGATACAAGATTTCAAGTACAAATAGCTGATACAGTAATGTAACTGAGGTTGCTCTAATGATAAACTTAGCATTTTCTTAGATCCTATATATAGATTTTGATTATCTCTCTATTCCCTGTTGACTGTAGTATAATATTAAATACAAAGAAAGGCAAAGAAAATAATAGTATTGATCAAGAGTATTACTATCAGATGAGAATATTTCAGTGATATATTCTTTCCAGTCATCAGTTTCTCTTTGCTTGTTCCGATTTTTATAATTCAGACTTATTTTATGCTTAATTATTTATCATAGGTCTAAACTCTTTTATTCTTGTATTTTCTATTTAAGAAAATTATATGGAGGATTATATACTATAAATATTTAAAAATCATTTTCATATCATTTCTAAGAACTTTTTAGAAAATAATTATCACTATACTTAAAACCTGATAACTACACTTTTCGTTAAAATTTCATCTTCAATTCAGCTGAAGTGACAATTGTTTTAGAGACCATTTCTTTAATTGTTTTTTTTTTTTTTAATCCTTCTCTTTTCAGGACCAGGGTTCTTATCAGGCAGGAAAAGAGAAAGCAAAAGGTAAAGAAAATTTATTTTTATTTGTGTTGTTAGTTTAATGGGAAAAGTGATCTTTTCAAGCATTTTCCCAGGTTTACAGATTCATCTAAGTGAAATTGAAAGATTGTCTTCCTTTAGTCTTCTATCATTGTAGATAGCTTGATTAGCCTTCTGTTTTGTTCAGGCAGAGACGTGAGAATTATTGTTGATTCTTGTCATTCTAGTTCCAAAATATATCGCAGATCTGATCACTTCTCATTTCCTATTAGCACCCTGATTCAAATCACAATCATTTATTGCCTGGAGAACTGTAATGACCTTATAGCCTATATCCTACTTTTTAAAAGTTTTTTGAAAAAATACATTGATTATATTATATAGTGAAGTTGAGCATGTATATACCTTTACAACTAAGCAGTATGTGTCTGAGAGATACTTTCCCACATGTGTACGTGTCCACATGTACAAACTTGTTTGGATCATTGTTGTTAAGTAGCAAACGGAAGGGGAGAGGGAGAGAAAAGAAGAGAGAAAGGAAAAGGGAAGGGGAGGGGGCAGGACAAGGGACCATCCCAGTGTTCTTTAGCAGTAGAATGGTTAAACAAATTGTGGTAAAATTTAGGGAAAACTAAGGAGTGATTACCATGAAAGTAGGATAGTTGGTGACTCAGTGAAATGATACCTCATAAATTTAACTAGTATTTCCTTAATTAATAATGAGGCTGACTGTGTTTTCATTCAGGTTTCTCTTTTGTGATGTTCTTTTCCAAGTATTTTGTCTATTTTTTATTTGGGTTATTTGTCTTCTTATTGTGACTGACTATATATTTAGGACTTCTTTGTCAGTCATATGTGTAGTCTGTGACTTTTATTTTTACTTAATGTCTTTGAAGGAAAGCTCTTAATATAGTTGAAATTACCAGCTTTTTTCTGCTTTATCTTTTATGCCTTTTAGCCCACTCCTCACACAGAGGTTAGTATGATTTTTAAAAAGCACAAATCACAATTTATTATTCCCTTGCTTAAAAGCCTCAATTGCTTTTAGAGAGTAAAATCTGATTTAACCATAGCCTACAAGGATCTGAAGAATCTGCAACTTGCCTGCTTCTCTGACCTTATTTGTTAACACTTGCCCTATTCATTGTATTTCAGGCAAACTTAACTCTTTCTGTTACTTTTTTTCTTTTTGTCTATAACATTCTTCCTGGAGGTATTTACATGTCTGCATTGTCAACAATTGTGTCTCAGCTAAAGTATCTCCTATTAGATTGGCTTTCTCTAATCACTACATTGAAATAGTTTCCCATCCCCTAGTTACTGTCTTGTATTCTCTTTTATTCATCATTCTTTTCATAATCTCATATTTTCTTGTAATTTTTTAAATCTGTTTTCCTCCTCCTGCCATTAAGATATATCAATGAGAAGAGGGATCTTGTTACTTTTTTTCATTATGTATCTCCTGTGCGTAAAACCGTGACTAGCAATACAATAGTCACTCAATAATAAATAGACTATGAATGTAATCTGTCCCCAGACTATATTTTAAAAAATAATTTCACTCTATTTGGATAAGAAAGGGAAAGACAAATGGCCCTTTCCCCAAGTGTTGTTCTCTAGCTATGTCACTTTCCTGTTCTTTGAAAATTTCATATCTTCCTTTGCTTCCTCAAACCTCTTCCGCAATCCTATTCCAAGGATGTCCAACCTTTTGGAGTCTTTGTACAACACTGGAAGAAGAGTTGTCTTGGGCCACACATTAAATACATTGTAACATGTAGTGACAAAAAACCCCCACATAATATTTTAAGTAAATTTACGATTTTGTGTTGGGCTGCTCTCACGACCATCCTGGGCTGCCTGCGGCCCATTGGCAGCAGGTTGGACACCCTCTGCACCTGCTTCATACTCATTAGATGACCTTACCTCATATTTCAGAGGAAATAGAACCTGTTAGATGAAAATTATGTCAATTTCTACCACCTAACACCTAAACCTTCTTATATCTACACCCATCTTTTCTTTCTCCCCTGTAACTATAGAAGTTTTCTTTTGTCAAAGAACGTCTCTCTATTTGTGATCTGAATTCCATTTATTTCTGCTTTTTCAGGGACCTCAGTTACTTCTTCGCTTTCTTGTGTCTTCTACCACTCCCTGTCAACTAGAGGCTTTCTACTGGTATTTCAGTTCTCTCCTATTAAAACAAATAAGTCCTTTCTGGGTTCTTTCCCTTTCTTGGCTGTACTCCTTCACTCTTAACCTCCCATTCGCTTCTCAGTCCACTTTACTAAACAGCACTTGCTAATATCAGAATAGAAGTTCATGTTCCATTTCAAGGATAGTTTTCTATCCAACTTACTTTAGTATGCCATCATCTCCTGCACAGATTTATCATTCCCTTATTTTGTTTTAATGATACAGACTTTATTTAACATTGCACAAAGTGGACAGTCTGCTCTTGGGGAACTGCCCTTTTCCTTCATCTTGAAACAAGCTCTTCCCTTGTTTCCTTTGATACATTTTCCAGATTTTATGTCTGTTTTTGCAGCTGGTCCTGTTAGATAGCTATTTTCATGTTAAAATTTTATTATTTTCTGTAAGTTTTCTAATTATCATTGAAATATTTTATACATATATCTACCAAATGAAAGTTGATAGAAAAATTAAGCCCAACTTTGTCAGGTAAATAAGTTAGCCACATACCTTGCTCTTTCTAGGTATACAAACATTAGAGGCTATCATGATTGCTAGGTATGAGGGTCCAGTCCCTTCAGAAGTGTCCCCTAAAGTAGATAGCCTTTGCGCTGTTTTTCCTTATTCCTGGAATGTTACACGTATTCCCATCCTCTGGCTACCTCTGATACATCCATCTATCTTAGAAATAATTTCTGAAGAAACCTTCCTTTCCCTCTAGCCCTCCTCTGCCTACTCTCACCCCACCTACCCATAGTTTATATATCTTTCCCAGGGATCCTACATCTCCTAATGTACTTGATATTAACATCTTAATTTCAAGACACCATCAATTATTAGAGCCATACTCATTTTTTCAGGGGGAAAATATTTGCATCCTGAAGGTCCTGTCATTTCATTACTGAGCTATATAATGTGATCTTTTTAAAGACATTTAAATCCAGCCCTGACCCATGTGGCTTGGTTGGTTATGGGGATTCCTGGTCAGGGCACATGCCTTTGTTGCAGGTTCTGTCCTGGATGGTGCGCTTAGGAAAGGCAACTGATCTCAGTTTCTCTCCTTGTCTTTCTCCCTTACTTCCCCTCTCTCTAAAATTGAATAAATAAAATCTTAAAAAAAAAAGGACATTTAAATCCCAGTTGGGGCTGCAAATCACTCAAATGAAATATAGACAAATAATTTCATCTATGGTTAATTTTGCGTAATGGCATGACATTTACTTTTTTTGCCTGATAGCTGGCAAGTCTCTTAAACCTTAAAAGTTTAAGGTTGTAAAATATTAACAATATTTTGAAATGTTGATGTGAAAGAGCCTTAACTTCTTGGAAAAGTGATACTTCTTTTGCATTAATTTTTTTTTGCCATCTTGGACTTCTTTTGCTTTTGATTTCTCACATATATAATCATTGTTTATGGCATTGTATTGTGAGTTATTTAATGGAAGAGAAGATATTTTCACAATTTATTTTTCAGTGTCTAATATATAATATGTGCCCAGTAAATGAATTTTAAACAACTACTTTTAAACTTTGTAAGTTAAGGATGTAATCTGAAAGAAAAATAATGAAGCTAAGGAAGAATAATTATAGTTCAAACAACCAAGAAAAATATAAATATTGTATGAAAAATGATAATTATATGGAAGTCTGGTTTTAAAAAATCTGGAATTCATATAGATAAATAACAAAGGGAATTAAATTGGCATTGGCTGCAGATTAGTTCTTACTTGGCTTCTTTTTCTCTTTTCATTTAAGTCGACTTTTTTTTTTTTTTTTAATCCTTACTCCAGGGAGGACATGATTATTGATTTTTAGAGAGAGGGTAAGGGAGAGAGGGAGAGAGAGGGTCAGCAAGGGATGGGGAGAGAGAGGGGGAGAAACATCAATGTGAGAGAAACATTGATTGACTGTCTCTGGTACATGCCCCGACCAGGTATCGAACCTGCACCCTAAGCATGTGCCCTGATTTGGAATTGAACCCCAACCTTTCAGTTTACTGGGTGATGCTCCAACCAACTGAGTCACAGGCTCAGTTGACTTTTAATAGTTCTTAGTTGTTCATATATTTAAGGCTTTTTTTTTTTTATATCTATAGGACAGCATACCTTGAAGAAAAACAAGTTTTTAACCTGTTAGATTTATTCTATCAATTTTTTTAAACTTTCTACATTCATAACATTTTTATGATACCTGGGAATGGCTTTATAAAGTTCTATTTTAAAGGCATTGTATTTAACAAAAGAAACATTATAGCCAGTTGTAAAATTTAGAGTCTTTAGGCAAATTAAAGTCATCATTATTTAATGTAATGTATATGTAAAGATATAACAGCGGTGTCACAAAATTAGAAAAATATCAACTAAATTATTTAATAGCATTATTGCTTTTTGTTATTTATAATCCTGCCTGAAGCCTCATTGTTGTTGCTGCAATAACTTTTTCATTTTTAATTATTTTAGGAATATTTTGAAAAGAAAAGGTTAAAATTAAAAATGAAATCACTGGGAGTTTTATCTCCTGTCAAAAACTCCGCTGTCAGTTTAGACCTCCTTAACCTGTATGTGGTAAATCAGATCTCCTGCCAGAAGAAAATACCTGGTAAGTAAGTCTTTCCAGTAGTATTTTGTTTTGATTCTAATGTGATCATAGCATTGAATTAGTTTGTAATTTTTGAGCTCAAAGGATGTGGAAAGTAAACTAATTTTAAAACTTCGTTGTGTTCTTGAATTAGAAGCCTTGATAATTTTTGTTTAAAATCTTTTGTTGCTTAATCCATTTGTTTTTATTTTTAGGTTATGTGTTATGTAAAATTAATTTTATAAGGTATGGTTATTCTTGTTCATTTGTTTCAGTTATCACGCTGGCTAAGCAGATGGTTACCAAAGTTTAGCTAAAAGACAGGGAATGAGTTTCTTTACTATCTTATGCTATTCAGAGAACTCGTTTGAAGGGAAGAGCAGAAAAGATTTTTGCCTCAGTGATTAGTTTCCTATCTCACAACTTGAATAATTTCTTATACAGTCCTGGGATGTTAACTTTAGTAATCTCATTTCAAAATAAAGTTCATTTTGGCCTGCACTTTGATTCTTCAAGTAAATAAAAGTTTAATCAGAGTATTTTTTAGATTGTTAGCGAGTAATATGAATTCTCAAATATTTTTTTCCATTTCTTAGGTTGCCTTTTTATTTTGTTGATGGTTTCCTTTTCTGTACAGGAGGTTTTTTGTTTGATATAATTCTACTTGTTTATTTTTGCTTTTGTTGACTTTGCTTGGTGCCATGTCCAAAAAAATTATTGCCAAGACTGATGTCCCATAGGTTTTCTTCTAGGAGTTTTATGGTCTTAGGTCTTACTTTGAAGTCTTTAATCCATTTTATGTTGATTGTTTATGTATGATTTAAGGTAGGGTTCTGGTTTCTTTTGGATGTGACTGTCCAGTGATATATTTATTTTTTAAATATTTTTTTCTCTTCCACTTTATTTTCTTTTTTTAAAATTGTTTTATTGTTGACACTGTTACAGATGTCCTCCATTTCCTTCCTGCCTTTTGCCCCTTTACCAAGCCCCATGCCTCCCACCTTCACTACATTGGCGTCTGTCTGTGTTCTTGGGCTTTGCATATATGCATATATGTTCTTTAGCTAAACTCTTCCAATTTCCCCTCCTTACCTCCCTTCTGAGATCTAGCAGTCTCTTGTTCTATGTATCCACGCCTCTGGTTTTATCTTCTTCGTCAGTTTTTGTTTAATAGACTCCACATTATGAGTGAGATAAATGGTACTTGTTTTCTCTGAGTGGCTCATTTCACTTAGCACATAATATTCTCCAAGGTCCATCCATGCTGTAAAAAAGGGTAAGAGTTCCTTCTTTTTCACAGCCTGATAGAATTCCATTGTATAAATGTACCCCAGCTTTTTTAGCCATTCATCTACTATACACAAAGATAAACTCAAAATGGATAAAGGGCTTAAATATAAGTTGGGAAACAATAAATATCCTAGAAGAAAACATAGGCAGTAAAATCTCAGACATCTCTCATAGCAGTATCTTTGCCAATACATCTCCTTGCACAAGGGAAATAAATGAAAAAATAAACAAATGGGACCACATGACACTGATTAGCTTCTGCGCTGTAAAAGAAACTGTCAACCAAATGAAAGACAACCCACGGAATGGGAGAACATATTTGCTAATGATACATCTGACAAGAGGTTAATTTCCAAAATTCATAAAGAGTTTTATATACCTTAACATCCAGTTAAAAAATTGGCAAAGGATTTGAATAGGCACTTCTTCAAAGAGGACATACAGGTGACCCATAGACATGAAAATGCTCAACATCACTAATCATCAGAGACATGCAAATTAAAACCTCAGTGAGCTATTACCTCACAACTGCCAGAATGGTTGTCATTAATAAATCAACAAACAACAAGTGCTGGTGAGCATGTGGAGAAAAGGGGACCCTCATACACTCTTGGTGGGAATGCAGATTGGTACGACCACTGTGGAAAGCAGTATGGGGAACCCTCAGAAAATTAAAAATGGATAAGCCTTTTGATCCAGAGATTTTGCTTTTGGGAATATGTCCTAAGAATCCCTTAACACTAGTCAGAAAGAATATATGCACCCCACATTTCATTCATACATTCAACATATATTTATTGAGTGCCTACCATAAGTTTTATATTGGATGCTGGGAATTGAGCAGAAAGTGATGGGGTCAGGGCATGGTACCCAAATTTATGGAACCTTGGCATAGTCAATGTTTTAAGCTGAAGAAATTTGAGAAGCAGGATGTGCAGGAAGGACTCGCATGTGAGACGTGCTTTCCCTAAATACAGAGGGTCTTTATACCCAAGACCGAGGGACTTAAGAGGAATCTAGATGAACAGGTCTTGCTATTTTCCCCAGTTTACTACGCTTAGCTCATTCCCTTTTTGTCCTATCACTTTTCTCCATGACTTTCCATACTTCTTCAAGTGTAGCATGAAAACACTCAGTTTTAACCACTCCTTTGGGTCTTCTTTGCCATATAAGGTTTTTCTCATAAAATTTATATTGAATAACTTTCTCCTGTTAATCTGTCTTTTGTTACAGGGGCCTCAGCTGAGAATTTAGAGGGGTAGAGGAACAAGATGTTTTCCCCCCCCCTACAAAAACAAAACTATCAATTAAGACTCATGACTGAAAATGACAGAAGTTTTAAATATATATTTATTTAATGTTATAGACTGAATGTTTATATCCCCTCCGCCCCAAGTTTGTATGTTGAAATCCCAATCCCTAGTGTTAAGATATTAGGAAATGGGGTCTTTAGGAAGTGATTAAGTTATGAGGGTGGAGCCCTCATGAATGGAATTGGTGCCCTTATAAAAGAGACTCCACAGAGCTCTTCTGCACCTTTCTCCATGTGAGGACACAGTAAGCAGATGGCTGTTTAGGAATTGGAAGCAGGCCTCATCAGGTAACGAATCTGACAGCACCTTTATGTGGGACTGCTCAGCTTCCAGACTGATAAATTTTTGTGGTGTGTAATTCACCCAGTCTATGGTGTTCTGTTTCAGCAGCCTGAATAGATAAGACTTAACCGAAAGGAAGAGCAGAGGTGCAGCTGGGCCTCAGAGGCTGCTTGAATTAGGGACTGAAATATTATGAAGATTTTCACTTAAGATACTGGCATTATTCTCTCAGACTGTCTTCATCACTGGGGCTTAAAATGTGGCCTTAAAAAACCTAATATTGCTCATCCTTTAGTTTTGCCACCAGGGAAATACTGAGGATTGTTTCTCCGCTTCTGAATTTTTAAATTTCACTGGAATGATGTTGTCTTGCCCTGTTGATGTTGGGTCCCAGCACTGGAACAATTATCTGATACCAGTGGGATTTGATATTATTACTGATTTGTCTTAGGTCAGATGGCAACCCATAAACCAATTATTTTTCCAGAGAAGTAGGGTTTTGTAAGAAGATAGAAAGTCTGTTCTAGAACTCTATAGTCTGCCCATGTATAGGAAGCATTTCTTAGAATGAGAGAGTAGAGGTACTGAACAGATAAAATAGTGATAATTTTTATAAGGAGAGACAAGGCTTCTGCTTCTATCAAGTTTAAAAATCTATTAATAGTGAGGTAGATAGAGTTAATCAAATACAATAAACTGTAAGTGCTATAATAGAGAACATATGTAGTGCTATTGCACTATATAACATAGCACCTCTTATAGCCTGGGGGTCAGGGAAGCCCTGGAGGAAGAAAAAAGTAGAATACAATTAGTAGAGCTACTTTTATGAGGAGTATGTAAGATAAAGAAAAAGATTATTTTAATTACCTGTGATAGTACTGTAATGACTTTTTTAAAGCCTATATAGAACATAGATTGTTTTCGTAAATTTCTAAGATATACATTTATTTAATGAACATGGTATATCGAGCTGTACGTTTAAAAGATTTTATTATCCATTCTTATTTTCAAATATTTTTTGTTATAGAAACTGTGAGAAAACCAATCCACGTGAATATGAATAGAGACATAAAAATGCCCCTAAGAAAGCATGATGTAGAACTTCCAATGTCACCTCCCCGTGTACCATCTAACCTCTGCATTGATGATATAGAAAACAAGTAGGTTTTTATCTAGGTTATATATTATTAGGTATTTAAATTGATCATTATTGACACTGCTTTTTTATTCATTGGAACATGTATGAAGAGCTTATTCTTTTACCTCCAGATTTCATATTGCTGTGTTTTTAAACTACTAAGACCTTTGTCAAATGACCTAATGCTTATACTAAGTGTTTTGTATGCATAGTTTGACTTTCCCTATCATAAAAATGTCTCTCTAATAATAGTGTAATTTTTGTAAAACTCACTACTATTATTGAGTTTTATAAAATAGTAGATCCCGGAATGATTTAATTAGAGTTTCATATGTTTTTTTGTGTATTTGTGTTGAACACTATGAATTTTAAAACATATATAAAGAGATAGTCAATTTTATTGCCGTCTCTGCTTTTAATCTTAACTTTTTATTTTTATTATTAGTATTCACATTAAAAGACTAGGCAGCAATGAAGAACTGGGCCCAGGACAGGTGAGAATTAAAAAAAAATTTATAAGTTATATTAACAATTATAGTGTGCTCCCAAATAATAAATTTTTTTGAATATCAGGGAAAATTAGTTATGCTTTAAAAAAATTTTACAGTCTTTAAAATTATTCTCTGAAAAGTTTTAAGGTAAAGAAACTGTACCATAAAAATATTCTAGTTGATTGCTTATGAGAATCCCCTTAGAGTTCTGGTAATGTAGACTAGACCTGTATGTGCATAACATTTGATTCTACTTGTTACTGACAAATTGCAAAGGGTAATTCATTTGGGGATTCTTGCTTTGGGACCATGTGATCATTGGCAATTTATCTCTTCTAGTATGGTGACCAGATTGTTTTTGTTTTATGTCAAATGGTGATTTTCAGAATTGATGTTGATCCCAAGATGTTTTATTTTGAAGTTTTGCAAATACTTATTTTTTAGCAAGTAATATTTTCATCAACTAGAAAATGCATAGATTGTAATTAAAACCTGAAATTCTAAGGTCCAGTACCAGAAAGGATATTATTATCCTTTCTTTCCTTTGAATTGTCAAAGTTAAATTTCCTCAAAAAGATAATGGCAATAATACTAAAATCTCTTTAACATCTTTTCATCTCAATTTATGAGTTAATAAAATGCAGATTTCCTGTCATTAAGAGATGACAGAAGGAATGGAGCTTTAGGGAGGAGGGAACCAAAGGGGAAAAGGCAGATGGAAAGGAGCTGTTAAGTACATGCTTAGTTGATAACTTCTCTTGTCTCATAGTAAGGCCTGTCAATTAAAAAAAAAATAAAAAATATTAGTTGTGAATTGCTACAGATGTAGCCAAGTTAGGAGATAAATTAAGTATAATAATTCCTCTTAGGACAAAAACTTAATTCTCTGCACAGTAGAAGATTATAAATCCAAAAACTAGAATGTTCTTTAAAAAATCTTTGAAATCACCCTTTTATAAAATTGCTGATAGTAAAATTGAAAGTAGTTCAGTGTGTTTTACGACAGTTGATGGTTGTGATCACAGTAAATGACCAGTTGGTGATGTCATTGTAGCCAAGTAGGCATGATATGGAAAAGGGCCTAAATAGCAATACATAATTTCAGGAGGTCATAGTAGCCTGTTAAAGTGTGAGTTGTGATGGCTTGATTCTTTTTATGATTTGACAAATGAGAACTGGTTAAATGCACGTTAATTAAAACTGTACAACTATATTTATGTAGGTAGAGATGTGTAGTGCTAAAATGTTGTTTAATCATTATATTCTCTAGAGTAAAAATGGTAAAAGCATCAACATTCTAAAATGCTGAAATATATTAGCCATAAAAATAACAAAACATGATCTTTTACTAATTTAATATAGAGTTAAAAAATAAAGTTGTTAATGGTTCTAATACTAATGTAAAATGGTAGTGAGGAAGTGGTTATATAAACACTATGTCTTGTTAACAGGAATATTTAGTTTTGAAGTCTTTCATTTTTAGCACACACTGGGTTTTTTGGCCATATTTTTGTATTTATTTAAAAATTTATAATTTATAAATTCATAATTAAACAAATGGTAGGTATATATTATGGTATATTGTAGCTATATGTAATGGTAGGATTCAGTTTTATAAGAGTATTTATAAAAGTATGTTTTCTGTTTTTCAGAGAAGGGAAAATGAATTATTATATTTCAGTGATATGTGCTAGCCTTATTAAAGACCCAATAATTTTTGGATGATGGAATGAAAAACTAATTACCCATTCAATTTGTATAATGCTTTAAAAGAGTAAAACTTGCACCCTAGATCAGCTTATAACTCATTTTTGCTCTATTAAATAGTTTATAGAATGGAGAATGAAACTCCTTGTAATCAGTACTTAAATAACCTACTTATAGATTCTGGTTTGTGATTATTTCCAGAGGGGTAATAATGTTATAATTAATATGGCAGAAGAGAGAGAAGAGAGGGTAATGTCTAAAGCATATTATGGAAGTAATAGCTTATTTGGAGGGATTTCAAGAAAAGTGAGACGTAGTAACATTAAATTATAAAATACAAAAGAAAATGAGTTGAAAAAACAGGTTAGAAGAAAAAGTGATGTGGGGCTCACTTGTCTCTAGAGAAGTGCTATTGAGCCAATATATAATCTCTTTTTCTTTTGATTGTGTGTTTCTCACTTCAAGGGATGATTTCCCCTCTGAACTTCTGTCATCTCTGAGACTGTAATAACTTATGAGACTTTATTTCCAGGTCTCCCTAACTTTAGATCTTTTTTTTAAAAAAAGACTTTGAATAACTCTTTTTTGTCTCCTCTTTTTCTTTTCTTTTTCCTCCATGTCTACCATTGATTGTTTTTGGAACTCTCATTTCTTTGTTTTGTAGTTTATAAATAAAATATACTACAGATATAAATTATTTCTGGAGAGATTAGTGTCAGACCAACATACTCAATATCTTACATTTATATGGTACCTTCCACATTAAAAAATGTATTATCTCATTTGCTTTTCACAACAATTTTCACACATTTCCCCGTTAACTCAATGATACTGACATTCAGAAAGATTAAAGTAGCAGTCTGTAAAATTAGTAAGTGAAAGAACTTAGATAAGTACAGCTGTTTCTTTGGGAGAAATTTATTTTCTATTAGAGAAGTTTAATTTCCTCAAGATCCTGATATTCTGAGTATTTTTCTTTATCCTTTTTTGGTTTTCTAACTTCCAAAAAAAAATGGTTACCTCACCATAGTATCACTAACTGTTATGCAAATACTGATATTGCTTTCATTGTTAGAACAGTGTTAATTTTGTTTTTAATAAGAACACAGTTATTTTAATAAAAATACATTTTTTTCCAATATAGATGTCCACTTAAATGGCATTTTATAGTAAATAATTTTAATTGTGCATATGAACATTCACCATTTTGTCAGATTTTTCCTTTCTATTTTTCAGCTCAGTAATGTTAATTATTCTAATTCCTTGGTTTCCAAATTAAATGAAAGTCAAGATGCTCTCAGTCCATCATATAAAACAGCACAATTTGGAACATTATTTGAAAGACTAAACAGGTGAGCAAAGTTATGGAAGGAAATAAGCTTCTTTCTTTCAATTAGTAATTTGCTTTTAATGGTCACAAATATTTTTAGTTAGAAATGCAACAGACCTAAGTAATACTAGTAGGAAAAAACCCCCTAGAAGTAAAATATAGCATTTAATTAAAATAGTTTTAAGTAATCATTTTCTAATGGGCACACATACCTTTTATTTATTGATTTAAAAATACTTTGGGCTAAAGGTGTTGTGCACCTGTTTTATAATCTCCAGAAATTACTAGTTTCTTTTTCTGTATCATAAACATTAATACCTTTTTCATTTACGGCAGTTGATCAGTGCCCCACTTTTATTTTCTTGATGTCTGATTATAAACTCTGGTTTATTGTTTTAAATCTGTTAAACTTGTAAAACCAGTTTGAGTCACACTTTGTAACTGGTGAAAAACCTTGACTCTGTAATCCTATTCCAGTCTTCCTTATTTTAGTAAATCGCACCATTATTCACTCAGTTGCTTAAACCAAAATAAAAGTTGTCCTTGATTCCTTCCTCCTTCCTTCAACTCCCAGTATCCATTTCTCCAACAGTATTGCCAATTCGGTATTCTAACAAACTTTAAGATTATCCTCATGTTTCTATCTCTAGGGTTCCATCCCAGTTTAAACTACCTTTGCCCCTTGCTATGAGAATTGTAACAGCCACATAACATTTGTTTTTGTTCCTTCCTTGTCCTTCAATCCATTTTAAAAAATAACTTTATCAATGTATAATCAACATACAACATACTGTATTTATCTAAAATGTGCACTTTGATAAGTTTTGATTTGTCAAACAAAATGAATATGAAACAGTATTCATCATCCCCGGTAGTTTTTTGGGCATCTTTGTAATCCCTTCCTCTGGCCAGTTCACATCTTACCCTCATTCCAAGGCAAATCTGCTTTCTCTATGGAGTTCTTTTGGTGCGGAGGTTTTTAAATTTTTTTTCCTACCATTTTTTACTAGATATAGGCTAGTAATATTTATTTTTTCTTTAGTGAGCTTTGATAGTTTGTGTCATACAATGAATGTATCCTATTTTCTGTGTTGTAGAATTTATTGACTTAAAGTCATTCAGAAAATCTCCTTTTTAAACATTTAAAATCTTTAACATCCATAGCGATGCCTTCTTTTCTCATTATTAATATGGTAAGTTGTATTTTTCCCCTTTTTTTCTTAGTCATTCTGATTAGAGATTTACCAGCTTTTTTTAATCTTCTAACTGAATCATCTCTGTTTCACTTTTTTTTTTTTTTTTTTGGTGCTCATTGAGTTATTTTTATTGCAACATTTTTGGTACCTTCCATGCCATATGGTTGCTTTGTATGCTAGCACTCATATGCTAAATAAGCATTAAATTTGCAATGTATGTTAGCAGTAAGGGCCCTCACTGTGGCAGGTCTGACTTCTGCTTCAACCTCCCCTGCTCAGTGCCCACTTCCCACAGACCGCCCAAGGGCTCTCTGTACTATAAGGATTTTTCTTCTTTATTGCATTAGCTCCTAGGCTGGCATTTTTATGGTAGAGATGTACTTATTGTTGTTGGCTAAAGAACATATTTCTTATTTTTCCATTTTTAGTCCATTGAATTCTGTTTTTACCTTTATTTTCTTTTTTCCGTTTACTTTGTATTTAATTTATCCTTTTTTTTCTTGTGGCTTAACGTGGTCTATCCTAGAAAATGCTCATGGACACTTGAGAAAAATGTATTTCTGCTGCTTTTGGGCGAAATGTCTGAAAAATATCAATTACATCCATCTAGTCCAGTGATTTTCAGCATTTTTCATCTCATGGCACACATAAAATAATTACTAAAATTCTGCGGCACACCAAATGTTTTTGCTGATCTGACAAAAAATAGGTATACGTATAATTTTGATTCATTCATATTGAATGGCTCTTTAATTTGACAGTCTAAGGGAAAAGAGGTCAGTGCCCCTGACTAAATTGTCAGGTGTTGCATGTGTTCAAAATTCTTGAAGCACACTGGTGCGCTGTGACACACTGGTTGAAAATTGCTGATCTAGTCTACCACGTCATTTAAGATCACCGTTTCCTTGTGGATTTTCTGTCCCGATATCTATACATTGATGTCAGTGGGTTGTTAAAGGCCCCCAGTACTATTATATTACTGTTGATCTCTTCTGTATGTTTGTCAACGTTTGCTTTATGTATTTAGCTACTCCTACATTGGGTGCATAGGTATTTATAAAAGTTACATTGTTTTGTTGTATTGGTTCCTTTATCATTATGAAATCTCTTTCTTTGTCTCTTTTTATAGCTTTTGTTCTAAAGTCCATTTTCTGAAAAAAGTATTGCTATCTCAGCTTTTAAAAAAATTGCATTTGCATGAAATATTTTTTTCCATCCCTTTACTTTCAGTCTGAAGTAGGTCTCTCTTCTGGGCAGCACATGTATAGGTTTTGTTTTTTTAAATCTCATCAGCCATGCTATGTCTTTTGTTTGGATCTCTAGTCCATTTAGAATTTAAGTAATTTTTAATAGGTGTGCAGCTGTTGCCAGTTTATTAATTGTATTCCGATTGTTTTTGTAGTTCTCTGTTCCTTATTCTCTTGATCTCTTATATGTTGATAACTTTCTGTAGTGTTATGTTTGAATTCCTTTTTCTTTATATCTTTTATATTTCTTATATGTTTTTGATTTGTGCCTCATATATACCAAATTATGTTTATAACAGTCTACTTAAATTTGATTATTGCATAAGTTTGATCACATTCTAAATCCACTACAATTTTTACTCACTCCCTCCATGTTTGTTTTTTCTGTTGTTATTTTTACTCCTTTTGCGTGTGCTTGTTTCCTTTATTGTTGTAATTACATACTTTTTGTGTTTCTACTTTTGTCCTTTAACCTTTGTCCTAGTTTTATAGTTCATTGGGTCATTGGTTTTACTAAGTGTTTGCCTTAGTCAGTGAGATATTTTTCTTTCTTTTATTTTCTTATTCATGTTTTGGATCTTTTCTACTTAAAGAAGTCTGTTTAATAGTTCCCATAATACTGGTATAGTGGTGATGAACTTTAGCTTTTTCTTGTCTGCAGAACCATTTCTCTCCTTCCATTCTGAATGACAGCCATGCTCAGTAGAGTAATACTGGCTGTAGGTTTTTGTTTTTCAACGCTTTAAATATTTTCTGCTATTTTTTTTTTCCTAGTCTGCAAAGTTTCTATCGAAGAATCAGCTGATAGTTTTATGGGAGCTCCCTTGTACAGAATTAACTTCTTTTCTCTTGCTACTTTTTGGATTTTCTCTTTATAACCTTTGCATTTTAATTATATGTCTTTAATTATGATGTGTACCTCTTTGGGTTCATCTGTTTGGGAACTCCACATTTTCTGGACATGTATGTCTATTTCCTTCACCATGTAGGGAAGTTTTCAGTCACTTATTCAAATAGTTTTTCAATGCTTTTTTTCTCTCTCTCTTCCCCTTCTGGTACCCGTATGATGTGAATGTTAGGTTTGATGTTGTTTCTGAGGTCCCTTAAACTGTCCTCATGGATATTTAAAAAAATTCCGTATTTATGCTGTTTCAAGTGGGTGTTTTCTACTGCCTTGTCTTCAAAATTGCTGATTTGATCCCCAGTCCATGTGATCTGCTGTTGATTCCATCTACTGTATTCTTCATTACAGTTATTGTATTCTTCATTTCTGACTGGTTCTTTTTCATGGCTCCTGTCTCTTCCCATTGTAAGTTCTCATTGAGTTCATTTATTCTTCCCCTAAGTTCATGGAACATCATCCTTAATAGCATTTTTTAAAACTCTGTGTCTGGTAGATTACTTGCCACACTCTCCTTTAGTTCTCTTTCAGAAGTTTAGTCCTGTTCTTTCGTTTGTGACTTGTTGCATTGTCTCATTATAGCCAACTCCCTGTGTTTGTTTGCATGTATTTAGGTAGGTCTGTTATGTCTTTTGGTTATGACAGAGAGGTCTTATGTAGAAAGTGATTCATGGAGCCCAGTGGCGCAGTCATTCTGGTCGCTTGAGCTTTGTGCTCTATGGGTTGAGTGCCCTCCTCTTGTAGTTGGGCCATAATTATTATTGGCAGTCAGTGGGTGAGGTTTACCCACAAGCTGACTGGCTGTGAGGACCGGCTGTGATTACAGCAGACTAGGTCTTGTATGGGTGTTGATTCCATGGAGTGTGAATTGCTTTAGTGGGGCTGTAGTGCCTGCTGAATTTCTCTTTTAAGTGTGTTATTTGTGGAGCTGGTTAGGTGGTTCTCTGATGTGGTCTGAAGCCTGCCACCGGGTATGTTGGGTCTGGAGTATACTGGGAAGTGCTCAGGTGTAGGCTAAGGCCAGCTGCACTTGTGCTACACTTGGGGCTGCCTGGTCAGACTTACTAGCTGGTTTGCAGTTGGTCACTTCTTGTGCTGGGCTTGGAGGCAGTTGGGAGAGGCCATGCTGTGAACGGAGGCTGACTGCCACAAGCATTGCGCTTGATGAAACTGTTCAGACCGAGACTGGTTGCTCCTTATGTTTGGGGCCACCTGGTGGGAGTTAACAATGCAAGTTGAGATGTGTCACTACTTATGCTCTGTGGTGGCCACCTAAGAAGAACTACAGGGCATGCCTTTTGGCTTGTGTACCTTTGAGAGATTTGGGGAAAGTCTGCAGTGCAATCTGAGACAGGCTGTTTGTGTGGAGGAGCCACGGGTAGAAGTTTGGGCCTGGGGACTGAGGTGGGTGGGATGGGGTGGGGTCTCAGGGAGTCACCAAGGCAGAGAGAATGTTGGTAGTCAGTTTATTGGAGAGCACAGATTTGGCTTGCACCTGTGCTGGGCTGGCTGGGTGAGCAGGAGTTCACCAAGGAAACTGGCATTTGCCAAAGCTTTCATCACTTGGGGAGAGTTGCCCTAACTTTTGCCTCTCTAACCCTCATGCAGAAGACAGTCACTTTAATAGTCAATTTAGTGTCTCCTCATATGTCCCTGGTGCTTTTTGACCTGCTGCCCTGGTGCTGGAGATTAGAGTGAGTGAGTTTTGAGTGAGTGAATTTGTGTGCTGGCTCTCTTAAGAGCAGCATGCCTTGGTCTTCTGCAGCCCTTTGTTTTTCTCAGATGCACTCCCTGTTTATTTTCACAACAAATTATTATGGGGACTTCTTTTCTGGCTCTGTTGCTCTGCACTAGGGAGCCAGGTGTGGGGCAGTTAGGTAGGGGGCACCCCTCAGCTGAAATATCCCTTCTGATTTTTAAACACTACATCTTGGTTGTTTCTCCTGCCTGTTCTGCATCTCTGCCCCTACTACCAATTTTGACATGACTTTTTCTTTAATTAAAAAAAAAGATTCTTACCTGAGGATATGTTTTATTGATTTGAGAGAGGGAGAAACATAGACTGTTGCCTCCCATAGGTGTCCCGACTTGGGATTGAACCCACAACCTTTGGTGTGTGGGACAGTACTCCAACCAACTAAGCCACCAGCCAAGGGATGGCTTTTTCTTTGTATTCTTAGTTATAGGAATTTTGTCCAGCTAGTCTTTAGGGGTTCTCAATGATGAGTATTCTATAATTTAGTTGTAATTTGGTGTGATCACGGGAAGAGGTAAGCACACAGTTTACCTACTTCACCATTGGGACTGGAAAACCCAATTAATACATTCTTTTGGCTTTATCTTTATCTTTATTATAAAACATGTTTTCTGTACATAAGCATAAATTTTTCATTTTTGATGGTCTTCATTATTTTGTGTAGATCTAGATTTTCACCTGGTAACACTTTTATTTTCCTGGAAAGATTTTCTTTAAACATTCTTGTATTGTGGCTCTTCTGGTAATTTTTTCATCTTTTGTATATTTGTAAGTCTTTATTTTGGTCTTCCTTTCAAAAGATGTCTTTTGACTTTCATTATTTCCAATTAGAAGTTGGCTATCTTATTTTTTTAATTATTTTATCCTTTTCATTGACATTTTTTCATTGCTTTTAGAATGAGAGGACATTTTTTCATTGCTTTTAGAATGAGAGGAAAGGAAAAAGAGAGTAAGAGAAACATCAGTGTGAGAAACATCAATTGGTTGCCTTGCAACATGCTCTGACTGGAAATTTAACCCACAACCTAGGCGTGTGCCCTGACTTGGAATAGAACCCACAACCTTTTGCTGTAGGGGATGATGCTCCAACCAACCAAGCCACACTGGCCAGGGTGTTGTCATTCTTAACATCTGCATATATATCTTTTCTTCTTTTTTTTTTTTTAAGATTTTTCCATCATGAATTTTCTACCATGGATTTCTATGCTATGATTGGGATGTCATTTTCATTTTATTTCTTGTGTTTATGCTGCATTGAGCTTCTTTGAATCTGTGTACTTACTGTTAAATTTGGAAAAATTTCAGCTGTTAGTTTTTCAAATGTTTTTTGTCTGATTTCTCTGTCCTTTTCTTGGGGACTCAAATCACATGTAAATTAATTCACTTGAAGTTGTGTCAAAATTTACTAATGCTTTGTTTATTTTTAATTTTTTTCTTGTTTCACTTTGCATAGATTATGTTGCTGTATGTATTTTCTTTGGTGTCTAATCTGGTAAACCTGTTGAGTGTACTTTTCATCTCTAGAAGGCAGATTAAATTATTCTTTACATCTTCCACATATCTTTAATATTCTCATTCTTTGCTCTCTCAAATATAGAGAATATAGTTATGTCTTTTAATGTAGTGGCCTACAAATTCTATCACTTCTGTCATTTCTTGATCGATTTCTAATAATTGATTTTTCTCCTCATCATGGGTTATATAACTTTGTTTTATTGCCTTCCTGGTAATTTTGTTTGGATTCTGTACATTGCGAATTTTATCTTTTTGGTTTTTCGTAATTTTTGTACTCCTGTAAATTGTACTAAGCTTTGTTCTGGGATACAATTTAGTTAGTTGGAAATAGTATGATCTTACTGAGGCTTTCCTTAAACTTTGCTAAATAGGAGCAGATACATCTTCAGTCTATGGCTAATTTTGTCCCCTGCTAAGACAATACCCTTCTGAGTACTCTCTGATTTCCTTTGAATTATAAGGTTTTTTCACTCTTGCTGGTGGGAACATAAAAATTTTCCCCTTGTTGTGTGAGCTTCTAGAATTAGTTCTAACTTCTTACCTTTGGTGTTTCTTTTCCCAGCCTTGGGTAATTACCTCATATGCATGTGCTGATTGGTACTTAACCTGGAAATTTGAGAATTCCCTGTTGATCTCTGGAGCTCTTTCTTTGTAACACTCTCCTTCATGGTACTCTACCCTATGAACTCTATCATCTGGAGTCTCTTTGAACCCCAAGCTCTATGTCCTCAACAAAGGGAGTCTGTAGGCTCTGAATGGGTGTTCCCTCTCTATTCTGTTGCTTGAATCCTCTCTCTAGGCAGTAATCTAGGAGAAATCACAGGATTCACCTCATTTGATTTCCCTCTTTCAGAAATCATTATCCTGTTCCACCTGGTGACCAGCTCATACCTGTTCAGGTGGCCTGAAAACCATTGTTTAATATATTTTTTCCTGGTGTGTGCGAGAGAGAGAGAGAGAGAGAGAGAGAGAGAGAGAGAGAGTGTCAGTCAGTCAGCAGGATAAATCTGGTCATTCTTGTTTCATTTTGGCCAGATAGAATTTCTGAAATCCATATTCACCTAGCAATCAGACTGAATTTTGCAAGTTAATATTACTTTTGTACTTAGAACCTTTCTATGTTTCTTAATGTTCCCCCCAAATGAAGCTCTGCATAATTTGGGCCCTTTTGTACCTTTTAAAACAGGTCACAAGTTTCCTTTCACTATTTCTATTCTAACTTTGTCTTGTTTTTGTTTCTCAAACATGCTGCAAACCTTATATTTGTTTTTATTATTCCATCCTTTTGTGTGTGCTTACTTTTTTTCTGTACATGTCTAATCATTCTGCTTATTAATAATCTTTAGCTTATTTATCGATTCCTTACTAGACATTTTACTGACCAAATTATCTGAAATGGGACCTCCAACACATGCTATTTCATCATGTGATCTTGTAGCACCTAAAAAGGTGCTATAATTATCTTTGTTTACTTCTTTATTTCTTTTATTCATTTTACTTATTAATGGTTAATTATCTTATTTATTATCTTTACTAGAATATAAGCTGTATTTTCTCCCTACCATGTAGTAGGCCTGCATTAAATATCTGTTTAATACACATAAAAGACATTTAGCTAATAAATTTTTCCTATTTTAGTGAATAATTTTTATATTTATAGGAAATATAAATTGTTAAAGTTGGATTGATTTGTCTTAATAAGACTTTTAAGTTTTTAATAACATTTCTGTCATCTCTACAAGTAGTAATCCTTCCCAGCATTCAGTCCCCAGTGCAGATGCTACCTGCCTGACTTTCTTCAAGCAAAACAATTTCTTTTTCATATTTACTATAGTAATACTTGACTACAGGATAGCACTTATCTTTAATTTTTTCTATCTTCTTTTAGACTATTTCTTGTGAGAAACAAGTGCATTGCGTATTTCTGTATACCCAAACCTCTCAGCGACTGATTCTCCTGAGTCAGAATACTTAAAAATAATTGTGCTTTCTAACTTATGAAGTGCTTTTACATTTATTTTCTTACTTAGAGTAATAGAAATGTCTCTGGTGTTAATGGTATATACTATTGCATACTTTAGGTTATGCCTTTTTATAAAACAGAATAGCATTATTCTGCCATAAACACCAATAAGATCCATATTGAGAAACAGTGTAGGATCATGATCTATGAACATTCATGGGCAAAACATCTCTTTTCTTTAATACCAAAGTGAATTCTTTTATCTCTCTTTCCCCAACATGTGGTGTACTCTCTGGAACACAACAGGTGTAACTGGTCATTAAATATTTAACAAGTAACTTAAAAAATAAAATTGGAAATCAATTATTTTAGCAATTCATGTTTCTTTTCTAAATTTTTTATGCTCTAATCTCTGTAACAACCTAACTCTAAATGATTTGTAGATAGCCAATGGCAGCAAAATCCAAAATATCTTGATTTCTAATTATTTTTTTTATGACAGCTTTTGATTCTTTCATACAGGTTGGACATAACCTAGAATTATGATTTCTGCAATAGAAATCGTACTTATGTTATCTAGTTTAACCATTTCATTTAATTCATTTAGCTCTTGGTTTTATTATATATACATTTGTATTTTTATTGCTCTTGGGGACATCAGAGTTGTTTTTATATTTTTGTTAGGTTGACAAATACGTATTATAATGTTCTCATAACTATTTGATTTAATATTTTAACATTGGGGATAAATTCTTTCTTCACAGTCTTAAAAACATCTTTCTCTGGTTAAATGCAGCATCAGTGACATATAGTGGTGGTTTCGTATGTTATTTGCTAGACATTATTACAGAAGATATACTATAGGTTGGTCATGTTTTGTTAGTGTAACAGTAAATTGAACCACATAGTAATTTTTCCACATTGAGATACTAAACTAAGTGTAGTTTATTTTACACTCACTAAGGCTTTACAAGTGCAATAGACAAATTTCCACCCAAAGTGATATGTATTTAAATTTAAAAAATAAAAGCATAATTTAGGGAGCTGTTAGTAGCTACTTAATATGTTTCCTAAGCATTTAAGAGTTTTTAAATGAAAATGCTCTATGCTTTTCTTGCTAAATATGATTTTGTTTACCTCAAAGTCCAGGAAATAGGAATTTCCTCACTGGAAGACCTGCTGTAGTTATGGGTGAAGATTGTGGAAGCGTGGATAAGAGAAGACACTCAGACTTCATCACTGAAGAGCAATCAGTACAACATATTTGGGGAGAAAATAGAAAAGATGTTTCAGATTTTCTTCAAGTTGTGAACCAGCCAACCTCTAGCCTTCTATCAGAAAAATTTGACTCTTTTATTAATGAAAATACGATCAATTTATTAAGAATAGATCAACAAGCCATAAAGAAACCATTTGACAAATGTGATTATGGCAGAGATATTTGTGCAGTCTCCAGTTCTGATAAAAACCATTCCTCTGATAGAAGCATTAGAAGTATTTTTACAGATCCAGAGTCAAATTTTAGTAGTTCTAACTTTAATGAAATAAGTTATCCAGAAAAGTGTCAGCCAAACAAGAATGATCAGAAAGAGTACAACAATAATGAGGGAAATAATCCCAATATATCTATTGAGAAGGATTGCTATATATCCAGCTCTGAAAAAAAAGGTTGGTGTTACGAATTAAAAATGTAGTAGTACTGGGTTTTTCTCTTTTCAGCTTTTGTGTGTGTATGTGTGTGTATTTGTATATTTGGAGGAATATGAAATTAAAAATAGAATGACATTCTATTATATGACATGTGGATAGGCATTTCCCTCTATTTGGGTCATACAAATAGCTTCAAATTAAAAAAAAAACAAAAATAGTTTATGCTCAAGTTTTAATTCAATGCATACTTTTGTTTTTAAAGGAAAATTTGAAAGGGGCTACCAAGAGAAGACAACACAGATGGAAATCCAGAAATATCCAGTGAACAATATGTAAGTTCTTGGGTAAATCTGGGGGTTGCAAATCGGAATTTAGTATAATGCACGTTGAGGGTTGAATTTATGCTAAGTGGAGGAGGCATATTGTTGTCTGAGGCTATGCAGGATGCCCTCAAAGAAGGATTACTAGTTGTAAGAATCTTGATTATATCACTCTGCTTGAGAGAATAGTATCTTTTCATCTGTATTTTGGTGTTAATTAGATTTGGTAAAACTGATTTATGAGTTCAAAAAAATTAAATACTCTTCAGGATATTAACTTACTAATTTGCAGTAAGAAATAGAAGGATTGTATGTATAGGAATGCTGTCTGGTGTAATAAGCATATTTTTTTTTCATTTTATTGATTATGCAATTATGGTTGCTCTGATTTTATCTTCTTTGCTCCCCTCCACTGAGCACTCTCCACACCCTTGGGCAATCCCCCCAAAATTGTTCATGTCCATAGGTTATACATATAAGTTCTTTGACTACTCCATTTCCTATACTGTACTTTACACCTTCATGGCTCTTCTCTAACTACCTGTTCGTACTTTTTAATCCCCTCACCTCTTCACCCACTGCCCCACAACCCCCTCCCATCTGGCAACCACCAAAATGCACTCTGTATCCATGATTCTGTCTCAGTTCTTCTTCTTTGCTTAATTTGTTTTTTAGATTTAATCATTGATATATTTGTATTTTTTGCCATTTTAGTGTTCCCTGTTTTGATCTTCTTTTTCTTAAATAAGTCCCTTTAACACTTCATGTAATAATGGTTTGGTGATGATGAACTCCTTTAGTTTTCTCTTGTCTGAGAAGCTCTTTATCTACCCTTAGATTCTAACTGATATCTTTGCTGGATAGAGCATTCCTGGCTGTAGGTCCCTGCTTTTCATGACTTTGAATATTTCTTGCCAATCCCATCTAGCCTGCAAAAATTCTTTTGAGAAATCAGCTGATAGTCTTATGGGTAATTTCCCCTATATAAGGTAGGTAACTGCTTTTCTCTTGTTGCCTTTAAGATGCTCTCTTAATGTTTGGAATTTTAATCATGATGTGTTTGGTAGTGGGCCTCTTTGTATCCATCTTGTTTGGGACTCTCTGTGCTTCCTGGACTTGCATGTCTATTTCCTTCACCAAATTAGGGAAATTGTCTCCCATTATTTTCTCAAATAGATTTCCTATTTCTTGCTTTTGCTCTTCTCCTTCTGGTACCTGTGTGTTGAGAATGTTGGACCTTTTGAAGTTGTCCCAGAAGCTGCTTTTTCTATCCTTTTGGATTATTTTTTCTTCTTGTTGTCCTGATTGGTTGTTTTTATGCTTCTTTATGTTCCATATCATTGATTTGATTCTTGGCCTCATCCACCCCACTGTTGTTCCCCCATAAATTGTTCTTTATTTCAGTTAGGGTATCTTTCATTTCTGACTTGATCTTTTTTATGGTGTTGAGGTCCTCAATAAGTTCCTTGAGCATCCTTATAACCAATGTTTTGAACTCTGCATCTGATAGATTGCTTATCTCCATTTCATTTAGCTCTTTTTCTGGAGTTTTGATCTATTCTTTCATTTGGGCCATGTTTCTTTGTCTCCTTATTTTGGCAGCCTCCCAGTGTTTGCTTCTGTGTTTTTGGTAGAGTTGCTTTTACTCCATGTCTTGGTAGAGTGGCTTAATATAGTAGGTGTCCTGTAGGGCCCAGTGGTACAACCTCCCCTGTCACCCAAGCTAGGTAGTGAAGGTGCACCCTTTGTGTGGGCTACCTCCTCTGGTAGTTTAGTTGAGCATTGGTTGCTGTTGACAGATCAGTAGGAGGATTTACCCAAGTCTGTCAATTTCAAAGATTGGCAGTGACCACTAACCACCAACCTTCACCTTCTGTGGAGGATCAGCTGTGCAGGAGCAGGATGGAGGTGCTCTGACATGGTCTGTGGCTGTCCACTGGGTGAGCTGACCCTGGGGTTTCCCAGGTGGTGCAGGCCAACATCAGCCCCCACCTGTGTTGTCTACAGGGCTTCCTAACCTGAGCTATAAAGCAGTCTGAGATGGCTGCTGCTTGTGCTGAGCTCGGAGATTCCCAGGCGAAGCCAAGCTGCAAATCTAGGTTGGCTGCTGCTAGTGCCAGGCCTGGGGCTCACTGAGGCCTCCTGTTGCTTGTTTGATAGGATTTAGGAAGTTGTGAAGCAGGAGCCACGACCAGCCATTCATATGGAAAAGCAGCTTGGGTGGGCCCTTAAGTTGGGTGGGATGACGTCTCTGGGGATCTCCAAGGCCAGTCAAACAGTGTTAGCCAGGTTGATGGAGTCTCAGATATGGCACCAGTCTGCTGGCTCTGGGGAGGGAAGGTTCAGCAAAGGGACAGTGGCCTCTGCTCATCTTGATGCCAGACACTTCAGTTGCTTCCTGTATGCCACTGGTACCTTTCAAGCTGCTACCCTGGTGCTGGAGCTCAGTGGGAGTGAGTCTGAGTGGGTGAGTCCTTGTGTGTGTTCTTTAAGAGGAATTGCTTGGGGCTCCAGCAGTTTCTGTCTTCCACAGCCTTAATTCCCGCTGTTTTTTGCTGCCAGATGTTGTAGGAACTTACATTCCTGGCACTGGAATCCTGGGCTGGGGGACCTGGTGTGGGGCTGGGACTCTTCAATCCCAAGATACGCCTCCCAAATTTTTATCCACCACATGTGGGTGAGCGACCAGTCTGTTCTGAGTCTGCCCTACCTCTTACCAGTCTGGATGGATGCGGTTTCTTTAATTCTGTAGTTGTCAGACTTGCACTTCCAGTCAACTCAATTTCTGACAGTTTTGAGTCATAGTTGTTCTATATTTTAGTTGTAGTTTTGATGTGGTTGTGCAAAGAGGCGAGCCATGTCTGCCTATGCTGCCATCCTGACTGGAAGTCTAATAAGTGTATTTTTTAACTTTTGGCAGCTCTCCATGGGAAGGTTGCTTGGTTATTACCAATCAGAACAAGGGAGTAATAGAATTCAAATTTTTATGGCATAAAGAAGCATATCAATAGTTTATGAAAATGGCATATGCTTTCATTTATTTGGGTCTTCCTTAATTTCTTTCTTCAGTGTTGTGTAGTTTTATAAGTACAGGTCTTTTACCTCCTTGGTTAAGTTTATTCCCAGGTACTTTGTTTTTCTTGTTGCTATATAGCAAGTGGGTTTTTTTCCTGATTTCTGGTTCTGATATTTCATTGTAGTATAAAAATGCTTTCAATTTCTGAATATTAACTTTGTATCTCACTGTTTTGCCAAATTCACTTATTAGGTCAAGTAGTTTTTTGATGGAGTCTATAGGATTTTCTATGTATACTATCATGTCATCTGCAAACAATGACAGTTTTACTTCCTCCTTTCCAATTTGGGTGCCTTGCAACACAATTTATAATAGCCAAGTGCTAGAAGCAACCTAAGCCCATCAATAAGTGAGTGGATCAAAAAACTATGGTACATTTACACAATGGAATACTATGCAGCAGAAAGAAAGAAGGAGCTCCTGCCCTTCACAACAGCTTGGAGGGAACTGGAGAGCGTTATGCTAAGTGAAATAAGCCAGGGGGCGAAAGACAAATACCATATGATCTCAGCTATAAGTGGAACCTAATCAACAAAACAGACAAGCAAGCAAAATATAACCTGCAACATTGAAAGAAAAAATAAACAGACAGTAACCAGAGGGGAGGAGGGAGAGGGGCAACAGGGAAAAGAAAGGGAAAGAAAGATCAAGTCAAGGGACATGTATAAAGGACCCACGGACAAAGCCAGAGTGGGGAAGGATTGAGGGTGGGACATGGGTGAGGGTGGAGCAGGGGAAAGTGGGGCAGGAAAATGGAGACAGATGTACTTGAATTTTTTAAAAAAAATTAAAAAAATAGTTTATGACACTGTAGTTATAGATAATTAAAGACAACTTGTAGTTTCAAAATAGTCCTAACTTTCTTGGTAGTAATTATGATTTATTCAAATATTGCTAATTGGAAATCATGACCTAGAATAGATTTTTATTCTGGAAGTATTTTTTTATGGATGGGATTGGCATAAGAAATTAATTAAAACAGATTCACAACATATTTAATAAAGTCAACAAATGAGATTCTTTGCTCTCATTTATGAATGAGAAAATTTGTGAATGGAAAACAGCATGTTAGGCTTTGAATTTTAAACTGTACTTTATGCCCTGGCCTGTGTGGCTCAGTTGGTTGAGTGTGCCATTCCATGAACCAAAGTGTTGTGGATTCTATCTGGGTCAGGGCATATGGCTGGGTTGCAGGCTTGGTTCCCAGTTGGGGCATGTAGAAGAGGCAATGGATTGATGTTTCTCTCTCACACTGATGTTTCTCTCCCTCTCTTTTTCCTTCCTTTCCCATCCTTTCTGAAATATCAAGAAGCATGTCCTCTGTAGAGGTTAAAAAGTAAATAAATACAATGTACTTTATAAAAATCATTTATAGCATGGTTCCTAAACCTGGCTAAACCCACATCACTTGAGGTAGTGATTTTAAAATACAAAAAGCAAGTTTGATCCACACATAATAAATAGGCTCCTTAGGATGGAGCTTATGAATCTTTATTTTTTTTAAAAAAAGCTTCCTTTATCATTTTGATTTGCAGCTAACTTTGGGAACCATAATTTAGAACAATGATTTTCAGAAAGAATAAAGCAAACTTTAATGCTGTCTTATTTATGACTCTTAGGAGTAATATCCCTTTGGAAGAATCACAGTCTAAGAAGTCATGGGGCTTTGGACTTGGCAAGGTAATGTACATCTTACATTATATTTCTAATTAATTCAGTTATATTATCATTTTATATTGTGATATTTGCAGTTTATTTTGATTTAACATTAGCTTTTCTAAAAACCCTACTTTGTAGGCTCTTTTTAAAAAATATTTTCATACTCAGGAAATTATAGCTTAGATCTAGAAATAAAATTACCATATTTTCAGAAACTGTAATGTGCTTTATTTGAGACAGACCAATATAGGTACATTTAAAACTTTTGATATCCTAGAAAATTCCTTACAAGATGAAAATGCTTTAGGTTTCAATGTGCTACAAGGGAACATGGTTATATATTTAGGAATACTGAAACATCTGCAAACATTGGTTATGTAAGTTGTAACCCTTGCTCATAATTAGAGTATATGATCGTTTTAAGTCCAGACATTGTGCTGGGAGTTTTATGTACGTTAATCTGCAAGAGCCTGATCCCATAAAATCTTCACAGTGAGACTCAAGCTCAGATTAAATAACTTTGTCAATGTCACACATTTGAGGCAGGATTCAAACTCTTGTCATCTGACTCTATATTTTTAACTATGTTAATTGTTTCATTTTTAATCTTCAATAAATATGAATTGAGTAGATTATGAATTCATTTAATAGGTATGTATTCAGTGTTTTCTACATTCTAGTCATTGGGGATACAGTGGTAAAAAAAAGTTGTAGTACTCATGAAGCTTATATTCCACTATGCACTACACTCTGAAAGGTGCAGAGATGAAAGGATATGGAACCTGTCTTTAAGAAGTTATAATCTAGTAGTTTCAGAAAGAGAAAAAATTAAATGCATTTTGATAAAGTGTTCTAATGGCGGTTTGTACAAAAGTGAGTGGGAACTTAGCAAAAGATACTTCTAAATTTCACAGGTAGTTGGAGGAAGATGTGATGGAAGAGAAAACTTTTCATCTGGGTATTCATAATCTTACCAAATGGACAAAATGCTTTCATTCTATGAAGAAGGAGGCAGCATAGATAGAACCAAAGATGTTAGAGAGTTAAAAACTGCAAGTAATTTGTTTAATTTTAGTTATTATTATTATTACTGTAGTACAAATTTCAAGGGATAGGAGGATGGCAAGAAATAATTTTGGACAATATAAAGGGGCCAGGTTGTAAAAGACCTTGTATGACATGTAATAATTTAATTTCCTCTCACTAAACTGAAAACAAAAAGCTCCTGAAAAAATTTTAGTGGAGGAGTATGATGACATTGGAGTATTAAGAAGTCATATCTTAGCAACAGTACGATGAGATTTGAGAAGAGGCGAGACTCAAGGCAGGGTCAGAAGTAATGAGGGCTTGAACTTGACCAGTGGCAGGAGGGATGGAAATGAGGGAAGAGCTATCAAAAATATTTTGAAGATCTATATTTGATAGGAATTGGTGATTAGTTTAAGGGAGAAGAAAAAAATTTGAAGACTTGGATTTATGATTTGGGGAAATGAATGGGTTGTTGATGGGATGGCGCCATTCACCAAGATTGAAAACATAGGAGGAGGCTGCAGAGAAGGTGAACTGCTTACCAAAATTCATGTACCATATTTTATAGAATAAAGCTGTTACTATGAAATGGCTACCCAGCCAAGGAACATATTTCCTAATCCTCTATCCAAGTGCAGCCTCATTGCTAGATCTCAATAATGGAATGTTATTAGAAGTGAGATGCATCTTTTCAAAAATTGTAGAAGTGAGATTTCATTTTCTAACATTATGCTTTTAATGGCTAGATGGCAGTGATGTCCTAAGGGATATTTGGAGCCACAAGATGGGAAAGACGGGGTCTCCAAATCACTAGTGGAAAAAAATAAATTGCCGACCAGGAAAACTTATTTGAGATTATTGCATGAGGAAGAAATAATAATGTTTGAACATTTTACATTTTGTGATTAAAAAATTACCTAGCATTACTCTGGCTGTTGTAAATAATGCTGCAATGAACATGGGGGTGAGGGTAATCTTTTTAAGTTAGTGTCTTAATTTCATTCAGAAAAAATAATCAAAAGTGGAATTAATGGGTCACATAGTAGCTCTGTTTTTAATTTTTTCGAGGAACCTCCATACTGCTTTTCATAGTGGCTGCACCAGTTTACGATACATTCTACCACAAGTGCGCGAGTTTCCTTTTCTCCATATCCTTTCTGACACTTGCTATTTCTTGTCTTTTTGATAACAGCCATTCCAACAGGTGTGAGGTAATAGCTCATTGTGGATTTTATTTGTATTTTCTTGATGATTCATGACACTGAGCACCTTTTCATGTATCTGTTGGCCATTTGTATGTCTTCTTTGCAAAAGTGCATATTCAGTTCCTCTGTCCGTTTTTTTAAATAGGGTTTTTTTTTTGGCCTTGAGTTGTATGAGTTCTTTATATATTTTGGATATAAACTTCTTAACAGAAATATGACTTAGATATTTTCTCCGATTCTGTAGGCTATTTCATTTTGTTGATGACTTCTTTTTGCCATGCAAAAGATTTTTAGTTTGATGTAGTCCCACTTGCTTAATTTTGCTTTTGATGTCAAATCTAAAAAGTCATTGCTAACATGGATGTCAGGATCTTACCACCTGTGTTTTGTGGAAGAGCCATGTATGCAGAGTGATCCTCAAATGCCAAAAGAGTCTAGAGGCCAAAGAATGAGTCAGGCAAGCCTAGCTTTTTGATTTAAATAATGTAATAGGAACTACATACCAAAAGCAGTCTCAGGTGGCAGCAAGACAAATGGATCCCTGGACTTCTACCCCCAAACTCTGTGCTTTGCAGTTCAAAGCAGTGAATTTCATGGGTGATCAAAGGGACCAGGTGTGTTGAGGATCTGGGGCTAGAGCAAGTTGAGAGAAATACTGAAGGCGCCTAGCTCCAGAAAGAGAATTAATGGGAATTCTGTGATCAGTCCAGAATTCTATGTATATATTGCAGAGCTCACCTGGGGGAAGAGAAAAATGTCAAAGGTCCAAGTTCACCCAAATGTCAAGATGGTACATGAGCTTTAATAACTTATGTTCTGCACAGTCTGTCTTTTCTTTTAAAAGTTTTATAGCTTCAGGTGTTAATATGCAAGTCTTTAATCCATTTAAATTAATCCATTTAATCCATCAAGTTAATTTGTGTGTATGATGTTCATTTTCATTCTTTTGCATGTGGCTATCCCTTTCCTAACGTTGTTTATTTAAGAGGCTGTCCTTTTCCCATTGTGTATTCTTGGCTCCTTTGTCATAAATTAATTGACTATATGTGAGTGGGCTTATTTCTGGCCCATGCATTCTGTTCCATTGGTCTATGTGTCTGTTTTTATGCCCATATCATACTGTGATTTCTACAGCTTTATAATAGTGTTCAAAATTAAGACATGAGATGCCTCCCGCTTTACTCTTTTTTCTCAAGAGTGCTTTGGATATTTGGGGTCTTCTGCAGTTTCATACAAATTTTAGTATTTTTGTTCTATTTCTGTGAAAAATGCAATTGGAATTTCAACAGGGATTGCATTGAATCTGTGGATTGCTTTGGATAGTATGGACATTTTAACAATATTAATTATTTCGGTCCATGATCATAAAATATCTTTCCGTTTATTTGTGTCTTCTTTAATTTCTTTCATGAGTGTCTTAGAGTTTTCATTGTACAGGCCTTTTACCTCTTTGCTTAAATTTATTCCTAGGTATTTTGTTATTTTTGATGGAACTATACATAAGATTGGTTTTTAGTTTCTGTTTCTGATGGTTCATTATTAGTATATAGAAACAACTGATTTTTATGCAATGATTTTATATCCTGCAACTTTACTGAATTTATTTGTTCTAACAGTTTTTGGTGGAATCTTCAGGATTTTCAGTATATAACATTATGTTAACTGCAAATAAAGACACTGTGACTTGTTCCTTTCTATTTTGGTTGTATTTTCTTTTTCTTGCCTGATTTCTCCAGCTAGCACTTCCAATATTATGTTGATTAAAAGTGGTGATCCTTTATTTTTGTTTTTATCCTCACCTGAGGACATTTTTTTTTTCACCATTGCTTTTAGAGAGAGAGGAAGGGAGAGAAGAGAGGAGGAAGGAGAGAGGAGAGGAGGAAGGAAGAGAGGAAACGAGGAAGGAAGAGAGGAAACGAGGAAGGGAAGAGAGGAAGGAGGAAGAGAAACGTCAATGTGAGAGGGAAGCATTGATTGGTTGCCTCCCTGAGGTGCCCAGCTCCTGGACCACGGATTGAACCCATGTGCCTAGGTATGTGCCTTGACCGGGAGTCAAATCCTCGGCCTTTCGGTTATGGGACAGATGCTCCAACCAACTGAGCCACACTGGCCAGGGCATGGCACTCTTTTCTTGTTTCTGAGTTTAGAGTAAAGCTTTTCACTGTTGATTATGGTGTTAAGCTGTCATGTATGGTCTTTATTTTGTTGAGGTATGTTCCCTCTATATCTTTGAAAAAATTTTTTAATAAAAATTTATTTAAGAAAAACAGAGGATACACCTAGAAGCAAGAAAACAGACTGAGAAAAATCTTCTATACCTTTTTGTTGTGAGTAATCACTAATGGGTGTTGAATTTTGTGAAATGCTTTTTATGCATCTATTGAGATGATATTATTTTTATTCTTGCTGATGTGGTATGTCACATTGATGGATGTGCGTATGTTGAGACATCCTTGCATCCTTGCAGTAAATCCCACTTGATCATATATGATCCTTTTAATATATTGTGGATTTGGTTTGCTGATATTTTGTTCATGATTTTTACATCCACGGTCATTACTGGGATATTGTCCTGGAATTTTCTTTTCTTGTAGTATCTTGTCTGGTTTGGTATCAGGGTAATACTGGCCTCATAAAATTAATTTGGGAATGTTCTCCTTTCTATTCTTTGTAAGAGTTTGAGAATGATTTGTATTAATTCTTTGTTTTGATTTACCAGTGAAGCCTTTAGGCCTTGACTATTGCATATTGGGAGGTTTTTGATTACTGATTTGCTCTCCTTACTAA